GGCTGATTTGTTTCCACAGAGCAGTTGGTACCACACAAATACCACGTTCACAAACCTTATCTAATGTTGGTAGTTCAGTAGCAACAAACCATATATAGTGTTACAAAAATGCATCGTGCTGTGTTACTGGCTGTATGTTCTGCAATACTAGTGTTCTCCAAAGCCACGATTTTAGTTTTGCCTAGCATTCAACCCTGCCCTACTTAAACACAAGTTACAAAATACATGAAGTGATTTTACACACCAGGAACATAGTCTAGCATTCAACCCTGCCCTACTTAAACACATGAAGTGATTTTACACACCAGGAACATAGAATAGGTTGAAAAGGATCTCAGGTCATCTGTAGTCCAACCTCCTGCTCAAGCAAGATCAACCATGAGACCAGATGAAGTTGCCCAGGGTTTCATCCAGTCTGTTTTTTATATTCTCCATGGATGGAGGCTGCACACCACCTCTGGGCAGCCTGCTCCAGTACTTGACTGTCTTAATTGCAAAAAAAGCTTCTTCTTATATTCTTTGCAGGGTAAAAAAACCCCAACAAATAAGTAATTGTAATAAATTATGTTGCTGTGTTGCAGAAAGATAGCAGGAGAAACCATGGGTCACCTGTGCACCTATTTTGAGGTTCTCTCATAGTTCTGCTTGGACTTGTAACAATATTTTTTTGAGTAGTTTGGGGGGAAGAAGGAAAAGGAAAGGATAGAGAGGGGTAGATTTGAAATACAGGACAGAACCATAATTAAAAGAGACAATTAAACAAATTGTGTCTCCATTAGTTCACAGTAATCCAACATAAGTATTCATTAAATCTGTCATAAACCAATGCCTCCATCACCCTATTCACATAGTGATATTTCCAATGAACTTTTGTGAAGTTCTGCAGAATCACCTAATAAAAGAACCACAAAATGGTTTGGGCTGGAAGGGACCTTAAAGGTCATCTAGTCCAACCTCCCCTGCAATGAGCAGGGACATCTTCAACTAGATCAGAACAGGATACAAGGAGTTACCAGTGTCCCTAAAGCATTCTTTAATGGAGGCAGCAATTCAAGCTCACACAACCTGAGCACATCACGCAACATTATTCAGCTCGGTGGGTACAAGAACCACGAGCAGAGTACCTCACTGCAGCCCAAAAAGTACTTTATGTCTCTTAGCACAGCTCATCTCCTAAAGCCTGCCCAGTCCCAGCTCTCCAGGAGGCCCATTTCCAAAAGGCATCTTTGGAAAGTAGTGCCTAAGCAAGTGAGCTTGATATCAAAGTCACCCAAAGCCTTCTTAAAGAAGCATCAAAAAAGCTTGGCTTTATTCGAGGGGATGGCAGGGAAGATAAATATTAGCTTTAAGTGCTGGTCAGTAAAACCAGATGCATTTTATCCATGGTCCAAAGCAGCCTTAACATGTATCACAATGGCAAAGCTAGAGGCATGCATTTGGAGTATTCAAGTGGAACAAAAAGCCTTGGGGTGGAAAACAACCTGATCTAGTGAAATAGCAGGGGGGTTGGAACTAGATGATCTTTGAAGGTCCCTTCCAACCCATACCATCCTATGATTCTATTTCTTCTTTATATTGTAATCAAAGTCAGACTGCAGTTAACACTGATAAAATGAATCCTGGGCCTGGATTACTTTAAAGAAACAAATGGCAATTTTGGTTCCCAGTCAAAACGTCTTTAGTCAAAGAAAACCGATAAGAAACCACACAAACAAATGCCTTCGAACATCCAATATCAAATACCACAGGTTCAGACTGGGGCTGAAAGAGGAGATAGAGCATACATCATCCTCTTGTACTTTCCATTCTCCTTAGAGGTTAAGCATACGGTATGGAGAAGGCTGTGATAAAATAAGAGGTTTCCACTGATAAAGTGGCATTTCTGCAGAATTGCACGCATACGGGAAAAAGATACTTTGATGACATTTGGTAGTCTTGAGCACTACAGTGTCAGAGTGACATTTTAATGCTGTGCCCGAAATGAAAACTACTGGCATGTGAAGGACTCTGCACATGGTTTGAATCTACAGCACAGTTTATTTGTAAACAGTTGTTACATGTGCCAATAATTTAATTGAACACGAACTTTGTACAATTCAATGTATAATATTAACAATGTCACACTAGAGAAGTGCGACTGTATTCAGTTACAGTCATACTTTAAAACCTTGAAAATACAAACCATTTGGAACACTGAACAAGAAAGGAAATTTTGAGAACAATTATAGAAAAGAAAAAAGAATTGGGAAATAGTAAGTCATGATCAAAAAAAATGAAAACAAAACACAGCACGATTTCTAGTTGGCTCCTGAACATCTTCATGTACATCCATCTAGAATGAATACTACTTGGGTTGTGCCAGAGCACAAAGCCAACCTCTCTTCTGCAAGTTAAAAATCTTGCTGAAGACAGAAACTTAAAAGTAGCTTCACAATGAGTAATGCAAGTGATTTTTTCCCACTGTCAATAAAACTATCTGAAGAAATGTATTTAATTTGTCTTTATTTGCAATACAATATAAAATAGATTCTTTTGGTATGAAGATCTTTGAGAACTTATTTTTACACCATATTTAAAACAAAAGTCACATAGTTTGAGTAAAGCCTCTGGATCATCCCAAGCACTGGAGCTGTAGTCGAGTTTCTGGTATTTTATGGACTTCTTTGGTTGCAATCTACCCAGTAAACTTCAGATATGCAGACGTGAACATTTAAGCTCCTAAACTAGTCTTGAAGCACCTAAGTTAGAGTGGCTTGAGTTCTAAAAACTGCAACATATCTGTAATTCTCACCACTAACTGTAAGATTTATGGGTATTAAACTCTGAAGAGCAGGCTACTTTTATTTATAAACTTTACTTTAGACAACCTAATAACAAAGGGTATCTTTCATCACTTATTAACACCGAAGAATATGCAGTGAGAACAATAAATTTTCATCCATTTTCAAACTTTCAACTTTACAAATTGTGCTATCATCACTTTACATACTAGTATAGACAGTGCATGGCAAAATTCAATACAATACGCCAAACTAGCTCATCTACTACAGCTCACTGTAGCACTTAAAGTAACATCTATAGTACTGAAAGTCTAAGTCATCACCTACTGCTTAGTTCCTCTACAGTGCTAGATATCGGCTTAATCTCCGTAACAATTCTCACAGTAAATGCTTCCTCTGCCATTTCTAGCAGATTGACATCACATTCCTCCTTAATTTCTTTTGAAGGAAATAAGGCAACTTAAACAAAAAACCACTATGGAGAATATGCACGTCTGGTACAAAAGTTACTGTAGTGAAAAGTATCAACTTAATATAGATAATCTAGCTCTGTAATATACACAGGATACTAAATTCAGCTGCTGTTGGTAAAACACAAAACTAAAACAGATGTAAGAAAGCAGCACTGAGCAAACTGAAGTACTACAGACTTCCAGTTTCTTAGAGCGCAAGCCCCACACTTACACTTTAGGAATGTATATAAAGCAAAGGAAAAAAAAGAAGAATGGAATTTTCACAGTTGTAACTGAAGCCACTGCATTATCCTATTGTGGTACGTTTGTCCTTTTCAAAATTCTGTTGTGTTTTTTCTTACAGCCATACAGAACAGGATATGAACCCAAATGTTGCCATTTTTCACCTTGCTGTTGTCCAGCATCATCTATGCCACAGATCCTTGGTCCTTTACTTACTGTAGGATAGTTAAGTCTCATTTTTAATTATGACTATTTAAAACAAGGCAGTTCCAGTAAGAAGAGTGTTGGCAGACCAGGTTAAAAGCCTTGACATTTTACAGCTCTTGTCCTCGTGTGCTAAACAGGACAGACTTTTTTTGAGCTGGCAAAAAGTTGTTAATGCCTAATATAAACAAAGTGAAATCATGCTACATAAAATCATCTCCTACTAATAAAGCCAGAACATGATTTTAGATGAAACAGCTCCCTGTTAATGTTTGTCATAATCAGCAGCTAATGGTTCAATGAAAACACATTCAGAGAAGTATCTGCCTACACATCCTCTGCTGTTACCTTCCTTTGCTAATGACTGTCACGTGAAAAATCAAGAACTCTGTTCTTTCAAACATTAGTCAACAGGACAGATCTAGTTATATACCTTAAACTCAAGTTACAAACAACATCAGGAGTTTTCCCCACAGCAATCATCACCAGTTTCAAATAACAATGAGGGATTAAACCAGTGTGATCAAGTGTCAGACGCTCCTGGTTTCATACAAAGACAAAAATGAATCCATCATCCTGAAGAATTCCATGAACAGAGCCTACCAGTTCAGCCCTTCCATAATTCCACACCTCCATCAAATTCTGCCAGAGATTAAAGTGCACCACTCGTTTTGGAAGTGGCTTTAAGTCACCAGCAGGTCTCTGACTCTGCACTAATTCAGCCACCTGTAAGCATCAAATCTCTTTCCATTATACTCATTTGTCAAGGCCCCAGTGTTAAGCTGAACTACAGAATTCAACAATTCTTAATGCCCCATATCATCATGATTTTTTTTTTAACAGTTAGTCTCACTGAGCTTTCAGGAGAAGAGCCAAATCTCTTGCCTTTATACAGAAAGATTTTCAGTAATACAGTACAAAACTAAACAGAATTTATGTCTGAGTAACGAACATAGAAAACTACTATTGCAATTTTGTGGTGACAGCATAGAAATTTAACAATCATCAGAAAGCCTAGAAAGGGTGTATTTAGTTATAAAAGAAAGATTGTCTCAAGATAAAAACAGTGCTGACAGCTAAAAAGCTCTCTGTTGCAGCAAGATATGCAGTAATGAGTAACAAGTTCTAGACAGTTTAAGCACTTCCCCAATACTGCACCACAACACATTTTTGTAATGCTATTTCACATGGGTTATGCTGCAGCAGCAGTACACTTCTTGGTGGTTGGCACTAGGAATTAACCATAATAGAAGAAAGGCATTTAGTGATCAATGCATGAGAATCCCTATTTGACCTGTCCCTTAGGTGTGGTTGAAAAAAACTGAGGAAGGGGACTATCCATTCCATTCTGATAATACACCTTCTCTGAACATGAGATTCTTGGCAGGAAGGGGAACACCCATATCTGCAGAAACAGGCTGCAAAAGTGAACTTGAAGAACCAGCATCATGGAGCTGATCCAGTGTTGAAATACCTTCCTAAAAGCAAAAGGAAGAAAAAAATAGTGCCTTAAAAACAAGACAAACAATGAATGATTTAACAAATAGAACATGACAGGCTAATCTAATCTGCAAATACACTTAGTGTTTCTGAAGTGTGTTGTTTTAATCCAATAAATACCAAATCATTATGGAAGTCAAAACAATAAACAAAGGGAAGCATGAAATAAATATACAGTTGCCTCAGCTGCATCTGTGCATGCATTATTTGGCTTCCAAGAAACCTTCAGAGAAGCCTGAAGCTTAAAATTGAAGGAAAGGCCTAGAGAAATGAATGTGAATCTATAAAATCTTCAGGACAGCTGTTGTACTGCTATTTACCCCATACTATGCCAAGGGCTATGCATATATTTGGAAGCACTGACTTGACCATATTTTGAGTAGTTTTATTCCCCATAAGTTTGGTTTTCTAAGCTTAAAAATCACTTCAGCACCTTCTTTTTTCCTCTCTATCTATTTCTATTTTTCTCTCTATCTCTCTATCTATTTCTTCATCAAGAACAGTGTATCTCAGAGATAACATCCAAGAGATTAGGACAGAAGTCACTTGAGACTGTTTGACAGATGGTTTAAAGGCTTCTAACCGACTGGAAATCTCCAACATTCTCATGAGGAAGCGGTTTCAGGGTCACACCATCCATAACAGTACCTGGTTAAGTAACCTGCAAGTTCCTTACCCTACTGAAAAGAATTTTAGAGAAAAGTATCCTAAGACCTAAGCAGCTAAGCAGATTCCATGTTACATGTGGACATGCCTTGCTTGCTTACACTTCCATGAAGAATTATAGCAGGCTACAGACCTGGCATTCCTTCTTGCTTGCTACAGAAGGTCCTTATTCTCTATCTATGCCCTTAAAAAAATCCTCCTCAGAACAATTTTGCTGTGCAAATCCCATAAAAAACAATGAAACTAATTACATAAGATACAACTAGAGAAGTTAAGAAACAAGTATTAAATAAGACTAGAAAAGGGATAGGGAAGTACTCACTTTTTACTGCTAGTAGAATTTAAGGTTAATAGTGCTCTTAATACACTTACTATTTAAAGAAAAAACAAATAAAACAAGCCATGTATGTTTCCATACACTCAACAATTGCAAGTAGGAAGGCAAAAAGGGATAACAGATCAAACAAGGATGTACATCTGGATTACTGCTCCTTACCTGGAATGAATGAACAAAATTAAGGACCTGGAGAGACAGCTTTCTACTGGAATGTAGGAGCTTTTGAAGGCTGTCAAAAATGAAAGAGAAGAAGCTTTGTCCAAGATGGGCAAATTTTTACAAGTACAGCCACAGTAACTTACTCACAAATAACTCTAGTAGTACCTCACATCATGTGACCCAGAAAGCTTCATAATATTGTCATCACTGAAGAGATGCTTGACTTGACTCATCTCCTTTCAGCTAAATGCTATTTTCCCTACCATTTACACTGCACTAAAGTGAAATTACTGCAATTGAAAAATGCTATTTTACATAATAGACTAATTTATTAGACTTTATCATGTTTCATTCTTATCTAGGACAGTCTAGTAACATGACTTTTAAGAAGCAGATTAGTGACACGCTGTTAAAAAGTAGGTCAACTACTATAATAAAATCTTTAAGCCAACCATGTCCTAGGGAAAAAAAAAACAACAAAAAAACCAACAAAAAACACACAAAAACACACACCACACACCTCCAAACAAAAGAAACAAACCCAAAAATCCCACTGTTGAAAGAGTAATCTTTCATAAAGAAAAGCTTCAGTAAAAAGCAGCAGAGAGCTTGATCATAAGGCATGACTAAACTTAGCAAGTAAGATAAACAATAGTAAAGAAAATTTCCACAAGAGCTAAATGCATTCTACACCAAAGCATTACCAATAAGTTCCTCCCACCACCACCCCAGAATGGTTAGGAGGAGGAAAGAAAGCCTGTGCTAGGCTAGGAAGGGGAAATGAGGAGGAAGGCACCCAAATTTACTTTTTTTTCCCTTATCTGTTCATAGACAGTTTACTACAAAGAATTAATTTTCACCTTGTAGAAACTAAAACAACAGCCTGATCTTAATCTTACCACAACTAAGGACTAACAGGTTGCACATTATAGCTGGTATCTGTGAGCCAAAAAGCAACCGCCTTACACACTAGAATTAGGTACTCTATGAAACTAAGCTCAGTTTGGATCCTCTAGTCATTGAGTCGTAGGCATCATTTTTTGCTGAATCTCTGAACATAATACATACAACCTGTTAAACCTGCAGCTGATAAATCACAGCTCACCTTTCTTTTCTACATAATCCATGAGTGGCAATTTTTCTGCAGACTTTCTGATTCAACTCAGAGCTGAAGAGAGGAATGCCAAAGCATAATTCCAGGGGAACCCATTCCAGTTCTGTTGTGGGTACTACAGAAGGAAATAAAGACAACCAAATTTTAAGACAAAGCAAGAACATTGATCCCAGAATCAGTTGTATCAGATCAGGATCCACTGGACAGTTCATACTTTTTAAGACTGTTAATTTACTGAACTGCTCAAAGATTTAAGGGAATCTGAATTTTAAGAACAGTTAGCATTGCACTTGTCCCAGACAATCAGACAACAATGTGTTCAGATCTTTAAAAACGAGATCTCATTGGACTGAAAGTGTTTAGTATAAGCCATTTGTTTTTACCTTCAAGGCTTTGCTTGGCTGCAGAATCCATTGAGGTTTCTTCTATTACCATTTCAAATGATTCTGTGCTCCCATTTACATCAGATCCTGACGCTAGTTCAGCCTCTCCTAAAGGTAAAGTAATTCTTACATGAACATGCAGATGAATATAAGTTTAGTTACCACCTGATTCAAGGAACATGACACAAGCTTTGCCCAAAGCCCACACAGCTATAAAACTGGAGGAATGGATATTGGACAAACAATTATATTCTCCATGTATCTCCACGGATATATGGAGAAACATAGGCCCTGACTCATTTTAGGACTAAAGAGTCACTTAGGGATCTTCAACACATTTACAAAATATTAAGCTCTGGCATATAAAAATGAGACAATTTACTTTTAATATTTTGAAATTATTCTTTTTTTTTCCCCTTCTGTTGACTGTTCTAGTCCAGTGATTTTTCAATCTGTGTTTGCTATTTCTGAGCTAGCCACAAAGAAGAATTAGGAAGTAAGCCTAATGCCAATAGATTTACACACAAAATAGATTCCTATCTGTGGTGGATACTATTTTGTAGAGTTCCAAATCAAGTAATTTAATCCTTTGTTCACCTTTGTTAAAGTGATTGTACACAACATTAAGGGAACAGCCAAAAAAGACAGTTACTTGTAACCAACCTCTTCCATCAGAAGCATCACTCAGCTTTCTGTTGGTGTGCCGACTTGAAGGATTCAACATGGTGACATAGCCACAAAAGTGCTGCAAGTCTACTTTGCTTCTCAGTATCTTTAAAGCCGTATGAATGCCCATGTTCACACGAGAGAAGTCTAGTAGAAAACAACACATATTCCAGCTTACTTTACAAGAAGCCTCATCCATAACTATATAGTTCCTCTCTAGGCCAGGCTAAGTTTTTTATCTGGATCTTTCTCTCTTGTAATGCTCCATCTTAGCAATCACACTGGTGGATCTGGGATAACACATAAGTGATCACAGTCTTCCCACACCAAGCACTAATTGCTATTTTATAGTACAGTAAAAGAGCCAAGGAGAAAGAAAAATACAAACAGAAGATGATATCTCTCTCACACACAGACACATACAGACAGCAGAGATGGCAAGGTTCAGCTAGGAATCAGATGTCCAGCTCTTTCAGTGCCAGAGTCTTTTATAGCAAATTCAATACAAGATACACGTTCCACACATCTGAAATTCTGAAGAATTAGAATACAGTATTAGAGGGTAACAGGGAGTTTCAACATTAAGTTGTTCAAGTTTGAACTTAAGAGATTCTGCCTTCAAGATTTTTCACCTAGCATCAAGTCAGAAGAAAACAGACATCCCAGAGAGAGCAAATATAAACAAAACTCATTTTGAACTAGTAAAAACTTAATTAGGAAGTTAGCTTTACTTCTAGTTGGCCCAGAATTTTCTAAGTGGTAGCTTAAATAATTTTAGGTTTCATATCTGGAAGTTCATACTTGTACGACAGCTTTCAGTTGGGAAGGCAAGGCCTCAACTATGCAAAGCTTGTGTCCTACTCATCGAGGAGTATTTCAGAACATCTTGATTCCTGTCAAATCAGTTGAGCTAGGCAGACTATGAAGGAATAGAAGATTTTGCTAACAAAGCTGCTCCTGGAGAAAAAACCTCCATAATAGTTCCTAGTGTTGCTAATCAAGATGAGTTTGTTCAGGTTTGGTCTCACCTATCTTACATAGAGATGCTGAATAGAATACACAGAAGATTTATTTATGCAGTTAATAAAGATGCTAGTTAATAAGCAAATATGCACAAAGAAAGATGTGGAGGTGTTTGTGGAAGTTACTTCTTTACATCTGTGCTAGGAGAAGAGAGGCCAGAAAACACATTTTCATTATGACAGTGAAGACAGAAAGGAAAAGACTATCTCTAAGCTCAGAACAGACCTGTCAACCACTTAAATATTCTTGCAATTTTCTCATCTAACTTGACTTACAAGTACAAGAAAATCTGTATTAAAAGGATTATTGCAACCTTACTGCACAAGGTAATATGCTAGAAAATTAAGTAAGATGGTGTACAGACTCCATTAAAGACAGTCAGTTACCTCCCTGCTGCTCAGCTTCATCAAATGGGAAAGGTACGTGCATTGTTTCTCCCATTCCATGCATGCCATGTCCCTGAACATCAAGAAATTAAATTAGAAACAGAAAAATATACTCATCAGCTTAGCTTACTGTTACTACTAGCTCCCTTTTAAGGAGCAGCAGACAAGTGGATAAAACAAGCAGATCATTAAAGTTCTTGCTCATCTGAAATAAGTAATTAAATAAAATACCCCATCCTTCCCCCTAAAATGCAGGTGAGTAAACACACTGAAGTTAAACTTCAGTGAAGAGGAGGACTTTTCCTCTCTAATTACTAGTTATAAACAGATTTCATAACCACCAAGCACTTCCGGAAGAAAATGGAGTTTCCACTCCTAAGTACAGAACATTTTTGAGCAGTCAAAGCTGTCACAAGTGGGCCTTTGAGAATGTATAATTTTATGTTTGTTACAATATTGAACTTTTATTTGAATTATTAATTCAGAGCATTCAGCTGAACTAATGAAAAAGAACGGGAAGCTGTTTTACTTCTAAACAGACAAGCCCACTCTATTTCTGCTGTTTGTGATAAAGAGCATGTTTTGTTATAATTTACTGTAAAAGCTGAATATCAAGCACTCAAAAAAGTGCATTTCTTGAATAACAGTTCATACTCCCAGCTACCTTATATCTCTACCATCTAAGAAGCTTGTGGGCTCTTCACTTTCATTCCAGATTCCTATATCCCCAACATAATGAAAAACCACATCTCATTTTTAGGTAGCAAAACTCTATTATATGTGCCCATAATACAATAATGCATAAATAATACACATTCAGTTCAAAATCCATGTCTTAACCACCACTGAATCATGCAGCACTGGCTACAGAAGTTAAATGTATTTTTCAGCTCTTGGCAAAAGTGTAGCTCTCCTACATGGTTAGTCTACTCTAGCACGTAAACAGCTTAACTCAAACAATTATGCATGTTTCCATCATTTATACAGACACTCTGTACCTGAATTAGAACAGCAGAATGTGTTAAAGCATCATTCAACATTGTGAGCACATTTGAAGTAGGAACTACTCCTGGGTCATGACCCCAAGACGTTATTAGTAAGCGATCATAACCCTAGAAGAGAGAAATTAAGAGTATTTACAGTTGTAACGGACTACTCAAGCACATAAAGTGAAATACTAGAGTTAGACATTAGCATATTGTTACAATTAGGAAGTTACCACAAGTAACTACAACAAGTGTTATACTTTGTACCAAGGATCACTCATGCTCATACTCCTGGTAAAGACAGTTCAGATAGTATTTTGAACAGGAGGTTTCTGTCACCAATTCCTGTAGAACTATGTGGCCAACACAACAGCCTCCTAGCAAATAAGAGATTAAAATAATCCCACATTAATTTAAAAGGAAATTATAAGCTAGATAAACTAACTCCATCAAACGAGAACAAATATTTATCAACCCCCAAAACATCTATCCAAGGGGGAGGGACAGGGAGACAAGAACACTGACTAGGAAATAATTTCCTAGTTTCTCAGTTTTCAAGATTGAATTCCCCTGCATCTCCAGAAGATTTCTAGAAATGTCTTGACAGTTCCCTAAGAAAATGACACTGCAAAACAGCAGCGTCCACATATGTACACAGAGGAAAAAAAAGCTCCAATAAGTCTGTGATAGTGCAGAATGTGAGATCATTTAGCACAAGAAAATCTGACCTGTCAGCACACTGAGATCCCACCAGTACTGAAGCTTTCCAAGGCCACTACATTGAACATTTTTTACTAACAGAAGGGCACAATCCATACATTTACTGCTAGTTTAAGACAATAACAGGCTACGGTTTGAATCAAGCTCATTACCAATGGCCTTACAAAATGCCTTCTGCTCTAGAAGCCTTGATTTACTAAATCCTGTTTGTAAGAATTACTTAAATAACACAGAAGTATCAACAAAATTTTTGAAATCAAAGGGAAACAACATGTGAAAGAGGTTTGAGGAACAGAAAATACATCTACAAATCCTAGAGCCAGAGACAACTTCTGGTGTAGATACACCTAAGAATACACATCCCTCTATGAATGTCTCCATACTGTTCTAACATATTAAGCTCTTCTAGTATCTGCTTGGAATGACGAAATGAAAACTGTAGAGGCCCCTCTGCAATTATAAATTTGAACAATATTATTTTATGAATTCCACTGTGAGCAGCAAGACCCGAATACTGCTAAGTGTCAGTGGCATTTCAAATCAAAGTCAATAGATACAATGACTTTTGGTTCAGGCAGGTTTAGAAGTTTAGATGGCCACTTCCATCTAGGAAGTGGCCTAGTACACAGAATACCTAACAGTACTCCTTCGTGGCACATTTATCCTTATTATCATCTCAGAGACAGAATGGGAGAAAGCAGCATCTGAAGTCTTTCAGGCATGAGTTGATCACCTGCACTGTTTTCTGGGATTCCTTGCCAAAGCACTGTAGGGATGCTAAGAAGCTAGGTGGATTCAAGGCTGGAAGGAATTCAGGAGAGCAACTGATCACTGCAGAGACAAGAATTCCAGTCACAACCTCTATATACAAAACCAATTTCAGCTCAGGAAGTTCCAGACCAGAACACGGGGAGGGCTGGAAAGGTCTTAAGGGGAAGTATTATATATTGTGCTTATTCTTCCTACTTCCAACCACTGCTAGAGACAAGCTACTGGGCTAGGAAGATCTTCTGTCCAACCTAGTGCAACCTTTATTAAATTATTCTGTCATTCGAACTGCAGAGAGCATTACAGCTTAAAATTTCAAAAAGTCTCCATCACAGATTTCTACAGTGGACAAACTGGAAGTGATCATCTGAGCCATCTTCCAAACCAGGAAAAGTTTTATGTAGAGGTGTCCTTTCTTACATGATACTAGGAAAAGCACAACATACTAGGTCTCTATCTCTTGATATAGTTCTTCTACATCTTTATAACACATCCCAGGGATGGGCTTACAAACTTAAATTCACAATGACTGCAGTACCACATTTTACACTAAAATTGGAAGGGGTGGTATCAAACACACTGAAGTCACATTGTGACAAGAAGAGAGACGTAAGTAGCATTCCCTTTTCAGAACCTAGAAAGAAGACAAACCAAGATGCTACATAAAACTTGTTTCTAGAAAAGGTATATCATTTACAATGAAATGCACCTCTGACTTCAACCACTATCCTTAAACAGTGTGCAGCATATCTTTGAAACATTTGGAGAAGGGAGGGAGAATAAATCCATGTATACATTACCTGAAAAATGTCTGGAAGTTTCCGAAGACGTGTTCCTTTAGAGAGCAACAGCGAGGGTGGTCCTTGCCCAGTTATATGGTAAATATACAGTTTAAACCAAACTGAACTGACTTCTGGTATTGCAGGTCCAATATGCTGAAGAGAGATTATTCAAGAAATTAGAAAGAACTTAATATTGCAAGTTCAAATGCATTACTCTGCTGCTGATGATATTCTAGGTACTTAGTCCAGTATTGCAAGACTCCACAGAAAGCCGATAGTAAGGTATTCTCTATTAATATAAATTCAAGAACAAAACATCTGTCACTGACTCTACTTGAACAGATAAACTGCTAATAAATTTAAAAAACTTTGTTTACTGAGTTTTCATGTGTTTCTTCACTAAACACTTTTTCTTTTTTCAGATTAATTGCAATACTATTCTACATGCCAATAATTGAGTCACTTTAAAGGGAACATCTAACAGATGTATCCAAAACAAAGCTATTAAGATATTATATTACTAGATAATGGGGGAAACGCCAGTATTTTTTCACCTGGGGTGTACAGCTGCTAATAGGTCGAATTTCATTGGTGAGTGGTGCCATGGAAACCAGCAGAGTATAATTTTTGTTGAGAACTCTACTGCAGGTAGCTGGATCCAAGCCGAGCAAACTCTCACATCGTAAGAGGTCCAAGGGAAAGCCTATGTCAAAAATGTAAGATTCTTAAATTATCACTTAAGATGGAACATACAACCCAAAACATTATTTCAGATTTCCCATTATCCCCTGAGAAGTCATGAATACCACATTTATCCACAACTAAGTTTTAAATTATTGGAGTGAATTTTAATAAATCTGTACATAATTTTAGCAATTCTAGTCATACAGGGTTGTCTGGCACAGAACTACAGCTTGCTCCTCACCAACTAACTCATCCCAGGAAATAAGCACGAACATATTGAGGAAGTCAAGTAAGATATAATTAAAAAAAAAAAAAAAAATCTACTCCCATTAGAAGAACACACTCCCTTTCATGACCTGAAAAATGTTTCTTTGACAGAACAACTCTGTATAAACAATGTCTCCTCTATTATCTGCAGAAGTACACAATTTGAAACCAATCCCTTCCTCAAGTTCAGCTTGTCTTGCCATCATTACGCTTTAATCTGTTGCTCTGGATGTTAAGTCCAAGCCTTGGCAACCAAATCTGTCATTCAGCAGGCAAACCCATAACGCAGGCTCAAAGGATGATGAAAAAGTTATGGTTTGGCTTCAAAATATTTTTAAACAAGTGGGATACAGATTGCTTTCTGAAATACCAGCTTAATCAGAAAGCTGAGTCCATGGCAGATAAGTACACAAACTTAGGAGGATTTCCTCCAAAGTGTTCCCAGTACCGTTATTTGGTTGATCAGGCTGTACAGCTTGTGCCCCAAGGTCTTTATTATGCCGCAAAAACAGTATTGTGTTTCTCAGTGTAAGAGCATGATCAAAGTACCGCTGTGCTTCCCCTTCACCTGTGCTTTGAACCTAAACAAGAAACAAAATGAATGCACACAAGTGGCAGGCTGTTTCCATAAGCATCAGCTACATGAAAGGAAAGATTAACAAATTAGTATTTTAAAGCTTTGTAATTGAGTAACAACCCTGCAGCTTATATGCAAAGGTGATTTACAGCAACTATTAAATGAAAAGCGAGTCTTGGCCATGCTAGTCAAACAGTCAAAAAGTATGCAAAGACAACATCTATAAACCAGAACTATAACTCAGTCTTTTAGGTAAAAGGATTTAAATGTCCAGTCATCCTGACTGGTATAAAATGATAGAGCCATTAACAGCAAAGCTTCTACATAATTCTACAGTTGTCCTTCTAGAAATACCTTTAAGAGGTGGATAGGTTAACCATTCCAACACATAACGGTCAAATTTTCCTACAAAAAACAATGTGCAGACTTCCAGAAATATTAACACTTCACTAAAAGGAAAGTGACTTCCATTGAGCAAGCCCTAATGCAGGTGTGTGTACACACAGGCTCCAGCAAATACAGTTCAAGAACTCACTTAACTCACCACGTTCATGTACATGCATGGTGTGTCCCTGAAAGCCACTAGAGGTATAAATGCTGTGAATAAGAAATATTTTAACTGGATCGCTTAGGTTTGGTATGATCAGGTGCTTGTTCATATCACTGCATTGCTAAATAAGTAGCTTTACACGATGATAATACTGTGGGGTTTTTGATCCCTTTAACACTTCAAGTGCTGAAAAAGCATTTGGTCAAACACGTAACAGATTACCTTTTCCAGTTCCACCAAGAAGCTGTCAAGACTCTCATCTGACAGTTTCCCAACTTCAAACATAGTGACCGCGTGACTTTTCAAGTTCTGGAAGAACAAAACAAAACTTCCTTAATTCTTTGAGAATGGAATGGGCGAGTAAAAGTTTTAAGTAAAAACATTTCTTAACAAACAATACAGAACTTTTTAAAAATAATTACAGCTGTATTATATTGAAGTCAAAGTATTTTAAAACTCTAAGTATTTATTCTTGGCATAATACATTGAACAATTCTGACATACTGGTGAAAGATTTCCCATCATTAGAAAGGCAGTGAGAGTAGAATCAAACAGGAAGGCAATACGCTTTGTGTGTCCGCTAGACAGATTCAGGCTGCTCACGCTGGCTGTTTCAGCTAATAGAGAACAACAAGAAAATAAATTATCACATTTGTTTAATTTAAACATCAAATCATCAAGTTTAAGTCAAATCTACTAAAAAATAGAAGAAAAATAAACCACATTAGTTATTGCCATACTGAGTAGAACAGAGTTCTCTTATCACTACTAAACTACTGACTGACTGAATTCAGAAGTTCGTATTTTTGCATCAATTGATATCCAGAATACAGATCAGTCTCATCTTCAGGAAAAAGCTATTTAGCTAAAGAATTTTAAATCAAGAAGTAGGTACCACCTCCCCCACTGAATATTCCGTATGAAGAAAGGATCTACACAATCTGTGTTTTACTTGCTTCTAGACCCCTTTACAGCCTATGGCACTCTAGAAATATAAAAATAATTGATCCTAATGTATTAAAATTCACTGTTAGTGCTAACCTGGATCATCTTGACTGTTGGTATCTGTATCTGTGGCTGATGACCCAACTTCCTGTATAGGACTTCTGTTTTCCCCACTGTCCCATGAAAGCAGCATCTTTTGAGGGTCCAAAGTACTCCTATTAATGTGAATTAAAATCCACATCTATCGATCACTGCAGCACCAGAGAAGTATCTCTGCCTTCCAGTGCTAGTAAGTCCATGCATAGGCATACCCGATCCACACCTTTCAATGCTTCTGAGCCCTAAACCAGTCAAGCTTGATGTCCCTCAGAGTCCTGCTTTAGCTTCAGCAGAAAAGTTTATTTGGGGGTTTGAAAATACCAGATTTTGAAAAAGGTTTGAAAAAATTAAACCACCATCACTGAAGAAGAATCCAATGGAAAAAATCTCATTCACTTTGTTCTCACACTCTGAATTAGCTTTAAATAAAACTCAGGCATAGCAGTCATTTTAAATGGCTTAACAGATATTGAACCAAAAGTGCCTGACAATTAATGCAACCTGGCACTCCAACTTGGAGAACCCTTTGTTTACTGGTATTAACATCACTTTCCCAGGATTTGATATAGATATACATATATGAAAAAGTGTCGATGACAGAACTGCAATGGCACGTGACAGCAAGCAAGTAAACTTCATGTACATATTCCCTGACAGCAGAGCCAAAAGACATTGTTTCTGTACTAGAAAGCAACAGCTGTTATTTCTGGCCCCAGGAGTTTAAAGCAAATCTACACTTGTCTGCTTCAAGAACAAGCAACTAGGCATTTAAAAGTCAAAAAGCCAGCACTAACAGCAATAGAAGTAGTACCTTGAACTTAGAGGCTAAACTATCACCACTTATTCCACAGATTAAAAAGAAAATCAAGTATTCTTGTAATTATACACATTAGACAGCCAAGCGAGGTTTGTTGTGGCAGAAGTCAAAGAAAGCAACCAACAGCTTTACAATCAGATTTTGGTTCTAGCTTTCTCTTCAATGAGGAAAAATAAGCCTTGTGAAAGAACAGAGACACTTACTTCAGTCTGTTTATTGAAGGAACGTTCTTCCATGATGGATGAAGATTATCCAGGTTTATTACTTGGCCTTTTTTATGAGCAAAGCCTAACCGACAATACATGGACACAGCATTCTGAAGAAACACACATACACATAATAAGCAATATGCTATATGAAAACCAGTTGCAAGACAGTGAACTTTCCACATCAAGTTCAACAGATGCATTACACACACATACCTTTACCAAAGATAAGTCAATCTCTAGGACATTTGCAAGCTGGAAAAAAAAAAAAAAAGAAGACAGAGGAATCAACAATACAGTATCAACAATGTAGGGTAATTTACTACTTGTGGGCTTCAGCATCTTGTTGTTGGCTTGCTTTATTTTTAAACCCAGCCTGTACTGGTACGAGCAATTTTGTCTTCACTGCAAGTGATGAAAATAAAAAAGGGGATAATGTCTCATAATTGCTTTCAAAAGCATGCAAAAGAAATATGAAGTTATCTTCTACTGTGTAATTTCCAGGTTAATCATGGATACCATTTCTAGGTGAATCATATCTATCAGAAGACAAAGACAAAAACAAATCCCAGATATATTTAATGGGTATTTTTCAGCTGCTTATTCACCAAGTTTTGAGAATAAGACCTTATGAAAACATATTTATCATAGCAAAGTTATAAATACCTATGCAATAGTTACATTCCTATTTTAAGTCAAGACCCTGCATGCCTTCATTACCAGAAAAAAAAAAAAAAAAAAATCTTTTTTTTTATTTCACACTAGCAAAACACTCTGTTCCAGCTCATAAAACAGCCTACATCAGTCAGCCCTGTACAAATTCATTCCAGCTGATGGAATTGTTTCACTGAACCAAAGGTACTCCTTCAAGCCTGAAGCACTATAAAAGTTACATTCAAGATAAAAGAAACAGGTTGGATCTTAAGCCTGGCAATACCTGTAAATAAAATCAGTCCATATCAATCCATATCTCTGCATTAAGTATTTTCAGCAGTGTGCTTTGGGCCCTTTCAAGTTTTCCTATCTCCCTGACACAGGGCAAGTTTTACGTACCTCTGCCACATTAGTGTGTTCATCTATTGAAACAAATATCTTGTACAGGAGCGTTTCAAAGTAATCACCTTGCACTCTGTTCATCACAAAACCTTCAAGTGGTGGCACTAAAAAGAAGAATTACTTGCAAAATTACAATTTGGTAACTTGCTTTATTAAACTGAAACCGCATAAAAAAGGAAAAATAAATTTATACTTATTTAGTTTTCATGGTACCTGTAATTTTGAGGATTTCCCAGACAGAAATAATAAAAGCCTAAAGATAGCATACATTGTATTTATAATTCTCCCACTCCTTAAGAAAAGTAAGGGTTGTCAACATGTTTTCTTATAAGAACTAAAGCCGCTGTATTTCGCATCATAACCTTGCAGTCTCCAGCTCCTCCGCTACAGATAACTTCCAGCCATCCAGCCCACAAAATGATTTTGTAACATGGATGGAGATTAAATCATGGCTCTGATTGGAGTGGGACACAAAAAACCCACTCCACCCACACACTCCAGAGCTGAGACTCCCAAAGCTATTATCTAAGCAATAACTCTCTTGTATTTAGAGGATTTTCACTTAACTGATCTCTACTACAGTAATGACAACTCCTTCTGCACGGCCAGGTTCCAAACAATTTATGTCTTTGCAGACTACAGTGAATTCAGAAACCCCCGAGACCCAGCATAGCATAATGAGTTGTTCAAAGGGCAACCATATGCTGTGCTAGTTTAAGCTCCTACATAGTCCCCAGACACAGCACATGACCATAATTAAGCTGACAAGACCATGAAGGATGGAACAGATATCTATAAAAAAAGTTGTGTCTGTCTAGAAAATAGGAGTCAAAAACCCATGCCCTTCTGGTAAGGCAGTCACGTTTCTCTATGCCATTCTTCCTTTTCATTAGATGTATGGGAAGGTACTTATTAATTCATACCATAACTTTTTAAAGAATCTCATCTTACCTAAATATATATGCAAAATAACCTAAGAATTCAACTTGAAATCAATCTTATATACAATAAAAACAATGTTTTAATAGGGTTGAAAACATTTAGTCAGGAAAAAGTTTCAGAGCTCAAATGTTTTGTTTAAGCAGCTCATGTACACAGACAAGCAGCTCTAAAGACAGACACCTACAGGATAGCTGAAATGAAACCAAGAAAACATAGATATTATACTATTAAATATTTACTTACCTGCTATACAGCTGTCATCAGATATTGGTACATCAAGGTAAATAAATCCTTTGTTATACAAACCTTTATGAATAAAAGTACATAATTTCAGAAAAAAAGCATTTTCCAGAGTACTAACGATACAAAGAAGACTTCCCCCTCAGCCAACTCAGAATTTAAAGTCATTTTTCTTAATAGCCTCCACAGTAGAATATTACTGTGCAATACATGGATCAATAAACCACACCTAATACTAAACAGGTGTCACTTTAAACCAGAATTCTTTATTTCAGTCCGATGCAGTACACTTGGAGCTCTACAAGTACTTTCAGGACAATCAAGCACAGTAGAGGCACCTACATTTGACATCTGACCACAGATTGAGGCAGCTACATTTGACAAAGATGTTAATCTAGTTTTCACCCTCATCACTGTACTGTCAAGAAGTGGATTTTAGTCCTAAATTAGTTTCATCAGCTGAGGATGATGGCTACCTTTTGGTTTTTTATACAACTGCAAAAATAAACTCTGGGGCACTTCAGCCCAAGGCATCAGCAAAGCTGCAGCAGATACAGAGGGATATTGCATACAATAAGGACAACAATATGGTAGAATTTAAATGACACTTATGATTTGAGCACTAAGCATCTCAACTGAGTTCTGCGGAGTAGTAAGCCAGGGAGAAGTTTTTAAGGAAGGTCAAAACCTTTCAGCATGGTTATTTTTAAAGTCTAAGGTTTGTAACAGGTGCACTCTAATAGTAAAGCATAAAGCTAAATTACACAATACAAAATAAGCCAAATTTATTGTCAGTGGTTCCTTTGACATTACCCAATGTAACTCCATCTACATGATATTCACCACAGCAGGGAGGAAGTGTACCAACAACCCTCAGGTGAAGTGTTATTAAACATGCAAAGCAAGACTGTCAGATGTTTCACACACACAGAGCTCAGTCCAGCTACAATGTATGTACATAGGTATATATCTATAGTATATACAGTAGAATTGCTACCCCCAATCAGATATTAAATAAAATGCCTGCAATATGCCAACAACTAACCTGAATGCATGCTGATCCAAATGCTGCACAACAGCACGGGCAGTGACACATACCCAGCTATGCAAACCAATGTGTACCAACAAACCAGCTTTAATGGACCAAGATGACATTACAAGCCATCAACATGTTTTTCACTGTCTCTCCTTCAGCTCTCATAGCTGATACATTCTTACTTACTAGAAATGTACTGATGGCATCATAGTTTGGACTAAATGGTCCTCTTTTGCCATAAAATCCCATCCTATTGGCAGTTCCTAACATTAATTGTCCGTACATTCCATACATGAGTCAGGGTAAAAAGGTACATTAGATCCTTCTAAACTTACTAAACCTGAGCTGTAACCCTCTCCACAAGCAACATCAGGACACCTGTAGAGGAAGATCATTAAGTGTTTTCTGAATTCAAATTTTCTTAAGCCCTATAGTGTTTCATATCCACTTCAGAGCTTGAATTTCACCTACCTCACTTTTTTTTTTATTGTTTTGTCCTGCTTCAGCGACAGGCAGTGAAATTCTGCCTCAATTTCTTAACAGAAGTACAGTGCACAGATCCAACTGCTTGTAGTAAACCAAGCATTTACAGATCGACTTCTCAAGGAGGAGTTTGTCAGTGAATTTGTACTCCCTTGACTAACGTGATTTGTCTACATCTAATACTTGTTATGCTAAAACAGGGAGACACGTCTACATCATTTTTCAGTAACAGCTGCAGACCTTTAAGAAACAAGACAGCCTCTTAGATTTAAGCCCCATTTTCACGGTGTTCAAAAAGTACAAAATTACAAAAACTCTGCTTTGAAAAGCAAGGAGTGAAGTTTTACCACCCAGGATTATCAACATTTTTAATTTTATTTTCTCTTGTCCTCATCTACTTCCCCCACAATCTTTACTGACTGCCTCTACTGAAAGAATCTATTGAATCAAACAGTAACGGAGCAACAGCTGCTAATGGCTCACTGTTAAACCATTTATAAGATCCAGACTACAGTCGGTACGAGCTCTTGAGTATTTTCCTCCAACTCCTCTTATGATTCATTTGTCTACATCCCCTTTTATTCCTACTCTCTGAATTTACTAAGCAAGTTCTACAAAATGAAAAGGAATGTCCATTAAACACTTACTGTGAACTACATTGAAGTCTAATGAACCAGCAAGCTGAGGACCTGAATCAATTATCTTATCAATAGCAGACTTCTCCAATGTAGTACAAATCTAGGTAAAAGAAATCACGTTAGTCTTTTGTAGAAATGAGTCTATCCAACTTATTCAATACCACTCAAAAAAAATCCAAAAACATTACAGCCTCAAAGTCAATCATAAGCATAGGAAGTAACTCATGTTCTTAATCAAAATATTTGCACTGAAAAATTCACTGCAGTTCCTGTTAAAATCTTAATTATTTTTTTTCTTGTCCTCATAAAAAATTACACATGGTCTAGGAATGGTACTGAACTGCACAGGCATTTGGTAGGTGAAGCCCACAGTATAACAGGTTTGCTCTTTAGAAGTTCCAAACTAAGCATTCAACCACATAACTATAAACGCTCTAGAAGGATGTCCATTACAATATCAAAGTAAAGTGCCTCAGGTTATGTCAGAATATAAGTAGCCACTGCCCAAGTTAACAGCTAAAAAAACTCTGTCACTGCTTTAAATACATTACAATCTAAACAAAAGAGAAGGAATTAAATCCAGATCAAATGACTAGCTGACTGTAAAAAGAAACTGAGGATGGAAATAGAATTAAGTCAGCTCCCAAGTTTTTCACATGCATTGAAAAAAAAAAATAAGTACATGCAAGGGGCAGAAACAATGACAGTATGTATAAAATAAAGTCCATGGACATTCTGATTCTAACTAAACTGAAGGTTAACATTTGGTGAAAACTGAGCTGTCAGCACTTAACTATGAAATTTAAGAAACGTATTTTGTTGCTTGTCCCCTACAAAGCATATCATCGTGCACACTAGTTATCACAGACCAGCTGACACAGAACCACCTCAGCACTGTACACAGTGCAGAAGGACAGTGCACTGTTTTCAAGGACTACCACTATTCAACTAAAATCAGAGATGCAATCCATACTGAAATACCTTGATGTCGTCCTCAGTGATGTAGCCAGACTGCACGACCCACCAAGCTTCTATAGCAATCTCCACGGGTTTCACGGGTAACAGATCATGAGCACTTTTCCTTCTGAAAAATTTCTGCAGTGGTACAATCCATTTGAGATAGTAAAGAGCACTTCACATGTGCAGACAGCCATTTACCTTTATATAATCTGATTTTTATAAGCATCCATTTTTAATTACATCATATTCACAGACTGGATACACACAAATACTGTTAGCCTTGTCATCTAGTAAAAGCACATCCCTGTTCAGAAAAAAAAAAGACTCTCTCCTCCCTCAAATCATATGAAAATGGGAAGGAAAAAAAAAATATTTACATCTGATTTTGTTAAATGTTCTAAATCCTCAGATAAATTCATATTGTATGTGTCACTAATTAAAAACCACACTATTCAAACACATTAGGATCAAGCCCAAATTTCAACTACTTACGACATTTTATAACGTGAACAGGTAAGAGAACACAACAAACAAAGTACACAATTGGGGTATTTTAAAGAAGTTCAACAATCTTAAAAAAATAAAACAAAAAAAACCCCAAAGGACAAAGTACCCCACATTCTCAGTAAGCACGGTGCTAAAGAAGTACAGTGAATTTCAGTCCAAGAAAGAAAAACTAGAGGGTACTGTTTATTTATAGACCTAAACAGCTTTTCTTCCATTACTTTTTGGTTCACTCTATCAACTTCAGATTTTGATAAGCACACTTTGGTTGAAGGAGCACTGTGAAGCTACTTCAAAAGCACCTACAAGTTTCCTAAAGAAAGAAAGGAACTGTTGCAAATTAAAGGGTCTACTTTTATCAACAGTCATTACAATCATGTGCTGTTCACATCCAAGGACTCCTGTTCAGATTCATTACCATTGCCTCAGAGAAAAACATACATCCTACAAAAATTTATAGCTAGATGGAGGACTGTCCCAGAATAAACTCTGATCTCAACTGCACCCATAGAAACATGGAATAATTCTTACAGAACCATTGTCGTTATTCCATGTTTATACTGGCCAGGATACATTATTTATCTGGTGCCACAGAGTAAATATAGCTCTGAAAATGTAAGTTTGTGAAGAAAAAAAAAGAAAAAATCCACCAAAAACGTAGCACTAAATATCTTTTTCTTTAGTATACTTAGATTTTGAACTACAAAGTTCTTTATTACCTTCAGGAAATGCAATATAATTAGCAATACACTATGTCACATTCAATTAGCCATACTATTAAACTAACCAGATCCACAAAACTTATTCCATTCTTCATTTCCCATGAAATAATGAGGGGGAGGAAGGGGGGAAGCAAGGAGAGAGGAAATTAAAGACAAACTTACTTTTGAAGACCTACATTGATTCATTAGATCTATATACTGGTTTCTTCCTATACCAAGAAGTCTTAGACCTGAAAAAATAAGTAAGGTTTTATTTCTCTTAAGACAGGTTTTAAGCTGAACATATGTAAAACATTTTTCAAAGAATCAGACCTACTTCCATAATAATATTTTTAATTATTCTTTCTTCACAAAATAAAAGGATAGTTATAGGAACTAAATTCAGTTTTAAATTAATTTGACAGAGAACAACATGCATCTAAAACCAGAATCCATCCATTTACTCTGTACAGGTTAAAACAAGACCACATATTCCATTCCTCTCAAGTCATGGGGAAGCAGAGAATAACACAACCACTTTCTCTCCTACACTCACATCAAGAGGTAATAACTACACTTCAAATTAAGAGAACTAAAGCTGTACCAGATTTTGGTCAATAGTTTCTCTTCCCCCTAATAAATCCCACACCACACACTGGATTAGAACTATAAACTAAGAATTAGAGCACAAAGCCACATAAGCTTCTAAGGACAGTGATTAAGATCTAGTTGAGTTCAATTGAATCAAAATTTATTTCTGTAACCTCTAGCCTTCAACCATTAAGAAACTATGAACAGACACTGTAAAGCTACTCATTAGTTTTAACCCATATTCTGTCTCAGTTTTGACTCCAACTTTTTAGTTTGACACTAGCTTTTTAGGATAAAATATTAATAAAGATGTTTTATCTTAATTATACCACAGTCACTGACCTGCAACTGCTCCTGAAATAACGGAATTACTAGAAAAAAAAAAAAAACAAAACAGGGAAGCCTTTCCGCTCTCCATGCTCCTGAGTAACAGCAGATTTCGAACAAGCTATGTAGCACTGAGGAAAAAGTTTTTCCTTATCTGTTTCCCCAGTGAGAACATTACACAAAGGCAAATTAGTACAGTGAACCAACAAAATCCTTAAAGAAAAAAAAATCCCAACTGTTTTCAGTTTCAGCTGCTCCTCACCTGACTACACACCAACCTTAAAAAGAACTCAACAAACTCATACCAAAGGTGAAGAATGAAGTTTTTAGCTATAACTTCTTAGTGCCAGGCTTGATTAACACCCTCCCTATGCCAGCAGTTTGCATTTTCCTCCATAAGACTTATCAGCAGTCTATTGCTTTTACTCTGTTCTCCTCCACCAGGTTCAATGATTTTGCCTTCCTAATCTCCCATCCCACATCCACAACAGTCTAACAGAAAACAGGATAAAACATCTGGCACATCCAGGAGTGTCATAAAACACTAGATTCTCTCTCTTTTCTGGTACATCATCCCTCAATCCATGCTAATGCTAACTCATAGGAATGTTAACAGCCTTCCAGTGTCTTCCCAAAGCTTTCTGCCCAACACATGCCAAAAAACAAGCTAGGAAAGGACCAGCAGCTCTGCTTCCCGATGCACAACAGCCAGTAAGACTTTCCATCCAGAAGTCCAGGCAAATGGGAATGCAATACAAGCAAGGACAGAAGCTGCACAGGGTTTTGCACCATTCCTATCTATACTCAAACTAGCCCAATTCCAGTGCTGACCTCCGTATGGAAAACACACGCTCCTTAATATCACTATTTAAATGCTTATACACATTAATTCACGCATTTCTTCAAGCAAACAGATGCCTGCAAAAACATTTTCAGAAGTTTCACATTTCCAGCTCACTGAAAGTCGTAACACAACTAGATAATACTTACAGTCAGCAGCAGTGAAGTTTGGTAATGAATCATAGCTTTTTTCACTGTTCATTATATCCTTAAAAAGACAAGATAAATTAGTTGCAACAAGAAAGTAGTCATTTCAGAGAAGCAAGTCCAAAATTCTGCCTGCTTTTTGGTTATTTTTAAGAACAAAACAAAATTAAAACAAATATATTAAAGTCAGTTACCTTATCAAACTTGCCAATTACTTGATTAATCATTACACAGTAAGTTAAATATACAAAAAAAGAGACTTCTGTTTAACGTAAGCTTTACAAAGAAAAATGTTGACAGAATAATAAAGATAAAATCCTCTGTCTTCATACACAAAAAAACCCAGCACATGGAATTGCTAACAGTAATAACAGAATAAGCTAACAACTAATTTGTTATGTTTGCAATCACTCTACACAAAATAAAAAAGCACTTCTGATAGCCAATGAAAATAGAAGAAGGTTGCCAGAGTGCTGATAGAAAATAGAACCATCTTTGTTCTCACAGAGAAGGATCAACTTCAAGCTTTTGAAAAAGCTTCTAATATGGTTAAGTGTCCTTCTTGAAAGAGAACAAAAAAGAAAATAACCATTCAAATACGCTGCTTTCTAAAAATTTGTTTTAAAAAAGATTTTGTTCTATTAATCTAACAGAATGAGCTATTTCTTTTACAATTTGAAGAGTCAATCTCAAACAGCAAAACAGAAAGACTGGCCTCAGACTGAGTCCCACCCCTGTTCCACATGACAAAGTCCACCTCTTGAACGGCTTATGGGGGCAGAAGGGAAAAAATCTGCAGGTACAACCTGTTCTCTAGAAAGCTTCCTCACTGTTTCCCTATCTCTTAGTATACCCTTCCCAAAAGCAAAAAACCTACATGGCACGGCCTTGTAAGCATTACAGGGCCATTGCCAACATCTCTGGGACAGAAATCAACATAGAATCATAGAATGGTTTGGGTT